CATGTTCAATTGTTCATAAATAGATCATAAATACTTGCTAGGTGCTTTCAAAATGTGTCTTTTCACTTCTTCAACTTTTTTCATACAAAGTCAACACAACCATAAAATGGTGTGGAAAAATAGCCTCACCAAATCTGCCTTTTTTCTTCAATAAAAAAATAAAATAAAATAAATACACGCTTGAAAATCAGACCGTGTAACTAAGACAAGACCAAATTTTGACTACCAAGACAGGAACTAATCTTTAGTTGGCAAAGAGGTGAAATTTTGCCAAATACTTATAATTATAGTCATTAGCAACACTTGTCCACTTCAAATCCAGTAGTAATTTAAAGTTCAAATACTACTGGATTATTAAAAAATTAAAATTGTGTAAATAGGATAGTGATGATTATGGACAATTATCTTTCTTCTATAGAATGAATGCAATATATACTCCCTTCCAAACCATTTTTCGCCTTAACCATTGTTGGAATATTACTTATGAGTTGTTCCACATTGATTTTATAAGGAAGATGAGCTTAGTATATAAGCTTAGTCGGCTACTCCTTCCATTATCAATTGGTTTTAAGATGGAACATCACTGATGTGCATCTAGGCTCACTATCTTATGGTGAGCTTCATCTGGTGGGACCGCACTCTTCCTTTGGTTCTAATATGGTATCAGAGCGGGCTTTTCCCAGGATCTGCAATGACTTTTTCTACTCGACCTGGGCTTGGGCTTATCTCTCTACCCGACCTGCTCTGTGGGCTTGGCCTTACAAAAGGACTCACAAGTGAAGGGCTTCAATCACTTGTGAGTTGTCCTACATTGATTATAGAGAAAATGAGCATAATATATAAACCTAGTGGGCCTACTCCAGTGCTCCTTCCATCACCAATTGGTTTTAGGATAAAATTTTACTAATGTGAATCTAGACTCACTCTCTTATGGTGCGCTTCATCTGGTGGACCGTACTTTCTTTTCCCCCTGTTCTAATAGTCATTAGTATCTCCATTGGTGAAAGCTAGGATTAGTTTTTAATTGGATAATCAATATAATTTAAACATTGAGTCTATATAACCAGTAATTTAAGTAATTTAAAACATATAACAATTTTGTAACCCATCTTTTATGTTTGTACAAAATACCCACTAATAAATAAAAATCGAGCACAACATGACCAAAAGTAACAAAAAAAGAACAGACAAAAACTCTTGAGGGAGAGCTTTGCCGCCCTTGTGGTCTTATCCGGCTCGATTCCAGATTAGTCGGTTCCCCTGTGGATCCAGAAACCGGAAGGTCCCTGTACGAAAAAAAAATACTACTCACCAATGAATTGCAGAAAGTTGCAATCTTTTTTTTTATGCTACGGTCCCGTTACAGAATCATTCCGTCGGAGTTTGTAACCGTTAGGTCAACTATCTCTGACGGTTACATGATGATCCAACAGTTACAAACTACGATGGAATAGTTCCCGTACTTTCCCCTTTATTAGTTAGTGTGTATTTTATGCAATTAACAAAATATCGAGAAATATTACTATCTTCCTCAAGTTATCGGGTATATTTTGCAATCTTCATCAATATGTACATGCATTTATCCATACTAGGCTATATTATATACATCTCTCTGACTCTGTCCCCTTTAACCAAACCCAAAAATCAAATCTTGATAATCCCTCTGTACTTCATCTCCTTCACCATCCTATCACACTCAAAATACACATAATCACACACCAAAACTGAGTGTAATTATTGATCTTAACAAGCTATGGCAAACAAATATGATCATCAGCACAACATTCAGAACCAGAAAACCATTTTTCTGCCGATGCTCTGCCGCCTGTCCATCACCGACGTCAAACTGAACAGCTACCGGAAAACCCACCTGCCGGCCGCCGGCGGAAGCGAGCCCACCTCCCCAAAAGTCAGCTGCATGGGCCAGGTCAAGAGAAACAACCGCGTCATAGGCTACCCCGCCGCCGCCAAGCCCACCAACGCCAATCGGAAAAGAGCCGGCAAAACCAATCTGCCGGCCGCCGCAGGTGGGAGGAGAAGCTGCAGGATAAGCCGAGAAGTTACGGCCGCTAGGAATTCGAGAGGGTCGAGGAAGACGGTCAATTTCGATCGGGATGAGGTGGCGATGGTGGTGGATGTGTCGGAGATGGATCCGCCGCTGCCGGTGGTGAAGAGGGCGGCGCCGCCGCCGGGGGACGTGGTGAATCTGTGGGAGAGAAGGTTCGGTGGGGCGGGCGGCCTGAAAAGATTGGATCTTGAGAAGATTCGTCGGCCGGGCGGTGTGTTTCAACCACCGTCACCGTCGTTGACGGTGTGACAAAAGGATGATTCATTTTAGTGATTCCAAAGTGTGAAAATTATATATATATATATATTTTAATTCATCTGTAGGTTAAATAAAATATTTTGATATGCTAATAACGTACAAGAATTTAAATTCCTAGAATTTTTTTGTTTTGTTAATCTTTTTCATTTGTTTCTTTTACTTTTTCTTGCTTTTGTGCATAATAATTGTGCAAATAGATTGTCATAACTCTTAAGTCCAGGGTTTTAGTGTAAAATTCGAATGGGGGCCAAATTTTAAGGGGAAATGGTGAAATCTAGCTACCTCATGGCTCATAAGTTACATAAAGTAACTTATAGTTTATGATAAATGCTAAGGTCCCGTCACGGAAACATTCCGTCGGGATTTGTAATCATTAGGTCAATTATATTTGACGGTTATATGATAATCTAACAGTTACAAACTCCGACGGATTAGTTCCGTAATGAGACCGTAACATCGTCTTAACTCATAAGTTAATTTTAAAGTTATATTTTATAGTTTATAGCTCGAAACCTATCGGAAATAATAAAATTGTTTGGTCAAATTAACTAATGAAGAAGTTCATTTTAAAGGTATATTTTAAAAAGTTATGTGATGAAGTTTATGTGATTAGCTCATGTTTTTTTTTTAAATAAAAATAAAAAAATTATTCTACTAAACAAAACTTATTTAATCACATTTAACTTCTAAAGTAACAATAAACTATAAGCTAAATAATTAGGCTTACCAATCACATTATTATTTAATTTTGTACATAAAAATTGAGCATACAATAAATTAATTTTGAGTTAATAGCTATATAAGATTATTTGAAGTAGAAAAACTTCTGAGATGAACTCGTCTTTTTTTTTTTTTTTTTAATCCAATCGCATCGAAAACATTTTTTAAATAAAATAAGCTTATAAACCAAATGAATAAACTATACAATTATAGAGTTTATCAAACATACTCCAAAACACGTAATTATAATATACACATTGTATGTTATAATATACACTAATAAATGTTATGCGTTGAATGTCTGGCATATAGAGATCGTTTTCAAAGTCAACAAAAAATGAAGACAAAATTAGCAAAA